AAATTGATATTTTAAAAATGCTGTATCAATTTATCGATAACCTCACTTTCTCTATGACAGTAAAGTGCAATTTCCTAAGTCGCCGATTCTCGCTCATCAAGTTTCTGGAAGCCGTTTGAAGCTGGCTGATATAAGTCTCGACGCGGCTCATTTTGTCCCAAGTCACGGGTCCCTGTTCGTCCGCCTGTGACGAGGTGATTTTTGTCGAAGATGTAGACGAGGATGATGAAGAGGAGGCCTTGATCAATCGCTCAAATGCCAGAGCCGAGTTGAGCATCAGCGCCTGTTGACTGGGAATCATTTGGCTGTTGATTGAGTTATAGAAATGGGCCACCTGCATTGGAAAAATAATAAATTTGGCCTCAGATTTAAACAAATCAGGTTAAGCTTGGGCTTATATCAACTCATATGAATCTCATCCACTCCAAACTAACATCCTTCGATGGGAAAATACTAGCAACTCATCTTCATTCATTGTTTCTTCTACAAACTCGTAGGAGAAAATTGAGAGTTATAAAATTATTTTTTGAGTAAGAATTAAGCCATTTAAGTAATTAAATTTGAATTTTCCCACAACCAGATAAGTAGCCCTCTGGATTTCATTTAGCCTTGTATCCCAAAAATCGATCTTATCTAGGCTGGGCTGAACTGGACTGCTAATTCGCACTCGCATAACCATACTATCAGCACATGTAGAAGAATTCAACACCTGGTCGTAAGAAACGTGGCGATGTTACCATTTCACTATACACCCACGGGTGCCAGTGTTTCAGAGGGCAGAGGCGAAATATATGGTAAACCAGACTCCTCTCCTAAATCACCTTAAATCACCTTGAGCTGGCAAGTCTCATTTAATAATTACTGATAATATTGACGCCTACTTATATAAAAAAGTAGCGTCATCAATTTTTGTGAAAATATTTTTTCCTACATTATAATCAAAATGTAAAAATGCGAATGTAAAATTTGCCCTCTCACCCTAGCGCCCGTAACTGTATGTTGAAGTGGTAACATCGATACGATGAGATACTCACTTATTGATGTAAAGCATTTTAAGGATGTTGAGGTTGGTGATGATGGGTTGAGGTTGAAATTAAGATCCAGTCCAGGTCAGTCTGGATGAAGTAGCATTTAAAATGCAAGACTAATTAAAATTAATTAGCAGCCTCAAGCCTACTCATCCGATTTTTGGAAAATTTAATATGTACGAGATATATTGACCCTATTTCGTTTAGGGCGATAAGGGGACTGATAGTTGAATTTCCCCACAATCATAAGAATAGACCTTACGTTTCCATTGAATTTCGCATAGCACTTCTTCCCAAATGGTAATCTCACCCAGGCTATATTGAAGTGCAGTTTCGACCTCGCCTGAGCTGGTTTCATCAGCACCACCAGCGGTATTTGAACAACGACAGTGTAGCTTATAATCTCAACATGTTAACCATTACGCCACATTGCCACGAGTGCCTTTAGGGCACAGGGCAAGGTGATGCGAAATGCACTGGAAACGTAAAGTCTATTCATATGTTTGTGCGAAAATGATATCAACAGTCCCCTAATCAACTCACTACTCACGAAAACCTTCTTTACTACGAAAAGCTTAGCTATTACCTTAATTCACCTAAGATGACCAAGTTCTTATTTAAGAATTATTGATAGTTACGAAACCTAACTATACCCAAAACGCTCCTATGCTTTCCTTTGTTTAATCTAATCGCTTTGGTAGAGCCACTTCAGTGATAACTAACATTGCTTTTTTAGGCCTAGCTTACTTTCGTCCTTAATGTATTCTTGATGTGTTGTACCACGTTTGCTGTTGACTATCATTCTCAATGGTTCCCTTATTTGGATACCTTGGGCAAACCGTAGGCTATTGTGGCCCTACGTAGTAATTAATTTAGAGTCCATTTGTAGATTTCCCCGTCCGTATTCATTTCCTTCGGCATTTCTTGCAGTGGCACTTTGAGTTTAACCATTTGGTCTTTTGTAGTCGTTTTTAAATTTCGTTGATGGTGTTAGAAATCTCAGTCTAGCCTAAACGAAAAAAACCTTTTGTGAAACAAGGCTAAGTGAAATACAATAG